AAAACAAATCAAAATATAACAAAACATATTAAACATGAATATGTACCAGTTAGCATAACTTATATTTGGTTTTAATGAGAGTTAGGCATGCTCAATTGCTCAATACTGGCATGTTAAATAAAATAAAAAAAGAAAAATAAATATGTTTCAGTTAACCAGTATAATGAATCAGAAACGGAACGGTGATTCTGATAACAGGCCTCGCTCAGAGCTTGTTCACAGTCTGAGCTTGCTGTGTTTGGTTGGTCAGAGCAATATACTGGAGCCACTAATCTCAGAGAATGTCTGACTTATGAAATGTATGATTTAATAAAAGGAAGTTGCAAAAAATAAATATAAATAATTAATTGGTGTTTGACAAACACAGAGTGCTAAGAGTGCACTCACACTGAGGCATGTCAGCAGCCACAGATCTGAGTATTCCAACCAAATCGACAGCCTTTGTGAATAAAGAGAAAAAGGTACAATTGCACTACCAGCGGCTATTTTCCTTTATTACAATCATATAGACCTAACAATTTATCTTTCTGACAATGTAGGTTGCTTACTCAACCAAATAAAATATTATATATCTCATAAAGTAATTAAAGCTCATTAATCCTGAAAAATCTTCATCTTTTTTCTTCTCCTAAAGACGAACAACATACTTTATGTCTAAAGTCCTCCTACTCTGTGGGATTTTATGAGCATGTCTGCTGCACATCATACGCTGCAAACAGAAAAGTGGATGAGACTGAGAGTAAAATCCCAATGTGACTCATAATTGCACATTATGTCAAATATACCAGCCTGCTATTTGCATTTACAGGGCAACTAAACCCCTCACAGAACATATGCATAGAAGAGCAAGCATTTCTTAGTGGCTGATATCAATTCTCACTCGCCTGAGCCCCATTCACACACCCCATGACAATATGCAAACCACTGTATTGCTGCAGTTGAGCAATGCGAGAGGTATGAGCACTCTGGTTGTTGGAGTTGTTATCAGACTCCATAAGCCTTTAAAAATGTGTAACGTATAAGTCATGGACACAAACAAAAGAGGTCTGCTTAATAAGGGTTCTGCATGGAAAAAAGAGGAAACTAAATTGATTTCACAGCTCATCGCAATTTATTCCAACTTTTTTTCCTCTGTCCTGCTCGTAAACAAATGGTCACCTAGGCAACCGGAGCCTCGGACATCCGCATGGGACCGGCTGGCAGCTGCATAGCGATGTGCGAGGACCAAATAGCTTCCAGTGTGTACGCAGCTTAATGGTAAGTAGTGTCGAATCACGTCAACATAAGAGAGATTAAAGCTGGAACATTTGAAGAGCATTTCAACCCAACCCAGATATTGTACCTACGGTTAGCGGAGTTGTTTACCTTCTGTGCGCATGCGCTAGGAATACGTGTACGTCATAAGGTGGAAAGAGCAAAGCATTTCGTATGACGTCAAAAATTCGCAAGATTAACTTAGCAGCAAGAAGTCTCGATAGGACAGCATTAACTGCAACGAATCCCGTTTATCTGACTTTACTGATTATTCTGATTATTTGGTGAAAGTAAGTACCAAATCTTTAAAATATGATTTCCCAAAGAAGGCAACACGGTCTGTAAGATTTTGTTGCACAATATATGTTCTATATTTGTATTTAAAAAACCAATTCTTTCCATATTTGTCTTTCACAGCTATGCTGAAAAGAAGCAGTCGGTTACAGTCTAATGGCTATTATAATAGCACCGGCGAACCAGTCATCTCCTATAAGGAGAGACTGTATGGGTAAGTGTTTGTATGCATATTTTTTTGCTGTCAAACGTGTGTATACACCCATGTCATGTATGCTTTCATTGAACAGTCAGCAGACTTTTGTTCTCATTTGGTTTTATTTCATTCAGAGTTTTCAAAAGGCGTCGATTTCATTTCCGAAACGGCGAAGAACGTCACTTTGAACATGACTTGGAGCATAAAATTTGCACAAGTGACGCGGAGCCTGGATGTGGCTCAACAAAAAGAAAGACATTTCTCCTCATCTTTCTGGTCTTCTCTTTTGGTAAATGATCCCTTTCCACAAACCATTACATCCTCTCCAGTAGCAATATGTGATTTTCTTTTGAATTAACGTCTTATCACATGATTTCTCTTCATCCACCAGGTCTACTCTTCAGTCTGGCAGTTTTCACCGGCATCTCCTCTGTCATTGTGACAAAGGTATGGCGTACTTATGCAGTTTAGAAGAACAATAAAAGGAAAACAATCCTGAACAGAAAGTAATATTGTAAAGGTGTTTACATTAAACATAAACAAATTCTTTTTGCAATTATAGATATTCACTACAAGCTCCAAGCAGGCTTGGAAACAACTCGAGGAGCTTCAAAGTGAACTGGCCAGTCTGAAAGAGAAAATAGACTTTCTAGTTCCGGTGGCAGACAGGATGCCAAACTTTGCCCTGGAGTCACTCGGTAAGTCAGAAACTCAAACTGTCAGTTAGGTCCAAAGAAAATATGTTGTTGTTTTGGAATTTCTTTCTCACTGTTTTTTATCTATAGGAGCTAGAATAATTTACGATAAGACGTCAGAAAGCTATCCCCCTGATAAACCGGTGCTACGAATCTTTGGTTTCACGTTGATTTGTCCCAACCAGCGACCATACAGAAGCCCAAGAATCCTTCTTGAGGTAAAAAAAAAACTTATTCCACAAAGCAAAATATGTCATGATATAACAGCCCGACTGCTTTGCCCTTTACTCAACTCTATTTTCCTTTTGGTTCCCCTCTTTAGGGCCGGGCACCAATGCTTCCAGGTCAGTGCTGGGCGTTTGGTGGTAGCCAGGGACAGATTTCAATTGAACTGGCCCAATACATCACCATCAGCCACGTGTCACTGGGGCACATACCACAGATGCTATCTCCATATCTGACCGTGTCAAGTGCGCCCAGGAAGTTTTCAGTATTTGTAAGTCACAGATTCCACAGTACCACACGATTGAACTTCTGCATACATTACAGTGTGTTATAGAAAAACTTGATATGCATCTCTTTGTGTCTCAGGGAAATCAACATGCTGAGGATCCAGTCATTTATCTGGGTACCTTTCAATATAACCCAAAGGGAGGGCCGCTTCAAACATTTAAGATAGCCGTGAGTCCACTGTGTCATTGTTCACATGCACATACACTTTTTTTTTTTACCAACTTTTTAGAAAATAATAATTGTAGATTATCCCCTATATCCTCTTGTAGTAATGATAATATCTCTGATTTTACCATCTTGTCACCTTTTTCACAGTCACAGAGGTTTTTTTCAACTAACTGTTATTTATTTTTCTTGTCTCACAGGAATCTAACATCAGTGTGGTGAAGTACGTGACACTACGGATTCATGACAACTGGGGCAACTCCCAGTACTCGTGTATCTACAGTTTTAGAGTTCATGGCAAACTAGCATGGCATGAACACTAAAACTGTGGAGACATGCAGGACTGTGGTGGAGTTAAGTATAAATGGAAAAAGAGAGAAACATCCGTCCTCCACGTAACTCTAGTTAACAGTTTGTAGTCTGATGCGCCTCACACCCAGCCAGTCGTCATATTGTTGGGGTTTTCTCTCTTTCCTTTTTCTTTTTTAATTCATTTATTTTATTTTATTTATTAAAACATTGCTTTAAAAAAAATCATGTGTGTCCTTTGAAAGTTCTTAAATGACTGTGTATATTATGATACAAAATTACTAATTACAAAACACCTCGAACAATCTGTTTAGATTTCACGTACTGAACAGTAAGACAGATGAAAAGCACTAGAGCCACACGGTTTTCCCCTTAATAAAATTCAAGTCTATGTTGAATGTGCTCTGATATGACAGACTTATACTGTGAAATAGGATTTAAGGATTAATGAGGAGACTTGAGGTTTGAATGGGGTTTCAGGTGTACAAAGGTGGCTTACTACTTACCCTGGGTACCACTGTTACCATCATAACTTTTGCTGCAGATTTATTCTAAACAATAAGAATTTATAGATGTATATATCACTAAAAACTGATATTTGATATGTATATCCACATAATTATGGATTATTATCATATATATATATAATATTATGCAAAAAGACAGACTGTATTTTAAAAGAAAATACGTGAAGAAACACATTATATTAGATTTTTATTTCAAATATGACAAAATGCTGATTTTACAGCAGTAAAATTATTCTATCTCTGCACTTTAAACATTTAATAGCCTTTCTTCCTTGCACAGAGTGGATAGTCAAACAAACTGACTAATCATAAATACATTTTATACAAAGTTATGAAGCTGCCAGCTTTAAATAATCTGAGGCCACGCCTTCTCAATTCAGACTGGCCTATAAAAGAGCTGCAACCGAGGCAGGGAAAATAAGATGGCCACCACAGAGGCAACCTGCGAACACTTTGCTGCATTAGTGCTTCTCAACAATTTATTACTTTATTTTTTTGTTTTTATTACTTTTTTATTATAGCACTAGGAATAAACAATAAGATAAGGATTCTGGATCAGCACCATGATGCAAACTTGTGGTCAGAGTATTGACTGTGTTCTGGAGCAGGCATAAAATGTCACTGTGCATGTGTGTGTGCATCTCCACCACCACTATAACAAAGGTATGGCAAACAGACCCACTTTCTAATAAAATATATATATGTTCATAAAATTATTGACAATATAAGCATTTAAGCACAACTGGATCTAAAAAAGCACTTATCCCAGTGTTCCAAGTTGATGAAAATCACCCAACAGGAAAGCAGCTGGGCATTCAGAAATATGATGTTAATCAAATCCTTCTGAATTAACCATCTAACACGGCAAAAATGAGCAGATGAAAAGCCAAAAATTCCAGCAGGCGGTGCTGGACCAAGGCCAGGAAGATCGTGAAGGACCTCAGCCATCCCAACAACAGACTGTTCTCTCTGTTGAGGTCAGGAAAGCGACTCCGCTCCCTGAAGACCAACACAGAGAGACTGAGGAGGAGCTTTTTCCCGCAGGCGATACGGTCTCTCAATCACACCACCACACAGTACTGACCCACACATATGGTTCTTACACACACACTGGACTTTCTGGACTTTGTTTTCACTTCATCACTTAAATCAAGACACAAATGTGGATTGCACAACACTGGACATTATATTTCTTCATTTCCATTTAATACTTGTACAGCTGTTGTTATTGTATATATATATATTTATATTTATATTTCTTCACACATTCTTATATACTTCTATACTGTGTATTGTGTATTTTGTTGTAGGCCTACAGTTATTTTATTTTTTAACTTTAACTTATATATTTTATCTTATTCTTTCCCAGTTAAATTTACCCTTCATTCTAATTTGTGTTGTACAATTATTTCATTTTTAACTTAAATTTTTATATTTTATTTTATTTTATTTTATTCCTTCCTAGTTAAATTTACCCTTTTTAATTTTCATATTTATTTCCTATCTTATTCATAGCCTTTTCTTTTTTTCTTTAGGTCACGAGCAGTTGTGTAAGCATTTCACTGCATATCGTACTGTGTATGACTGTGTACGTGACAAATAAAATTTGAATTTGAATTTGAAATCTATTCACAGGTTCACAATTTGGGCTGCTGTTCCCCCTGATTGTGCAACGGTGTTAACCATCAGCAAAACCACATATAAACCGCTCTGTGTTTAAGAATTGCAACGCTTATGCTATTCTTCTGATTTAGGATTATTTGGATGATGAGTTGGCGACACAGTTCTTATCTTCCTGCATTTCTCCAAAAACACACAAAACTGCCAAGGTTGAAGCTGGCACATGTACTCATACACACACACACCCTCAAACACTCAGACATTACAACAGCTATGTCTACTATTCAAACTGCTTTTCTCATGCTGATCAAACATATTTTGATTTATATCCTTATGAATAAAAATTTTTCACTATTTGGAAATAGAGAAAAGCTCTATTTTAGCACTCTGATCATTTTTACTCACATAAGGCTGAATGTTGAGACCTTTTACTGTCTCTTAGCTGTGATGTGGATGGGCGGGGACTTCAATCTCTTTCTACGCCTCTGTCAGTGCGCCCCAGGGCAGCTGTGGCTACAATGTAGCTTGCCATCACCAGTGTATGTGTGAATAGGTGGATGACGAAATGTAGTGTAAAGTGCTTTGGGGTCCATAGGGACTAAGCAAAGCGCTATACAAATACAGGCCATTTACCATTTACGCCAGGTCACATGACAAAATTAAACAGCTTGTGATGGACAGAGTTACCATAACAGACAAGACATAGAAAAACGTAATTTGTGCCAGTATAATTTTATTTTATGAGAAACAAATTAAAAATGTGACCAAGATACTAACATTAAACTAAAAACTGATCAGAACAGCTTTGGCTGAGCTCTTTACATTTATGTATGGGCTTTTTTTGTTAGGATGCCTGGGTCGTTGACCCAGGGTTTTTGAGTTTATTATATTATTTATAATTTCTAGTCTTTGGGTTTTTGTTAGAGTTATGTCTTATGGTTTGTCTCTGTGTAATCCTTAGTTGCTGTCTTCCCTGTCCGCTATATCCCCGTGTCCAGTCAGTGTCTGTGTCTGCCCTGGTCCCACGTCTCTGTTCCCTCTGTTGTAGTGCCTGCATGTGAGTCTGTGTCCTTTGTTCAGTCTGTGTTATGTGTTTCCTGTTTTACTTTGAAGGTCTCTGTCTTATCTCAGTGTGTTCACTTTACGCTTCCTTGTCTTGTCAGTTCTGATTTGCCGCAGCTGTGTTTCCCTCCTGTTGTCCATTCCCTGATTGCTCCCTCTATGTATTTAAGCCCCGTGTTTCAGTTTGTCATTGTTGTGATCTACCTTTGTCTTGCTGTGTGTTTTGGCTGCATAGGTGTATTTTGTAGTCTTAGTTTTTGTTACCCTTTTGAGTTCAGCATTAAAGCTGTTTTGAGTTACTTTCTGTCTCTGGAGTCTGCACTTTGGGTCCTTCTCCTGCCTGCACACAGCCGTCACATAACATTTTTGCTGTCATCATGTAGCTGAAGTGAAATAAGACATGTAATGTTTCAGCCTCAACAGCAGACCTGTGTGGTATAAACAAACAATTATTAAACATATTTTAAGAGGCCTGAAACACAGCTGGGGGGGGGGTTGGTGAGGCCAAACGTCATAACGAGGTACTTAAAGTGTCCCAGGTGAGTGTTGAAAGCGGTTTTCCATTTATCCCTTTCTCGAAGGCAGACCAGATGATAGGCATTGTGGAGGTCGAGTTTAGAAAAGATTGTGGCACCTGCTGTAGCTCAAAGGCGTATGCTATCAGCTAGCACTTATTCTTAACAGTTTTTAATTTGACCCCCGAAAATCAATGCAGGAGCGCAGGGTTTTATCCTTCTTATCAACAAAGAAGAATCCCGCCCCGAGGGGAGATGTGGATTGCCGAATAATGCCTGCTGCAAGTGAGTCCGTTATATAGTGCTCCATAGCCCCGTGCTCAGGCTTTGAGAAACTGTACAAGCAACTGTTTGGAAAGGAAGCGCTAGGGAGAAGACCTATACAAAAGTAATAGGGATGGTGAGGCGGGAGCGGCAAGGCCCGATCCTTACTAAACACTTGGGAGAGAACATGGTATTCAGTGTGAACCGCAGAGAGGTCAGTGATAACCTCTGCTGGGTTAGTGGCTACAATGTTAGGTACAGCCAACCTTAAACACTGCTTGTAGCACCTAACACTCCACCCTTGCTGCTTTAGGGGCATTTAGTACTTACTTTCGCCAAATTATAAAAAATAATCAATCAAATAAATACAGAAAAACATGGATTTGTTGTAGTCAGTGCTCCTGCTGCTACTTACAGCTGACCGAACTTTGCACTGACATCATAGCCCAGAAGTCTTTGATACATCAAAGGCAAACGTATGATGTACACGTATTTCAAGCGCATGTGCGCAGGAGGTAAACAAATGCATCAGGTGTGAACAGATGACTGCGTTCGCTAACTGAAGGTACAGTATCTGGGTTGGGTTGAAATGCTCTTCAGATGTTCCAGCTTTAATCTCTTTGATGTGATTCGATACTAATTACCATTAAGCTTCATACACACTGGAAGCTATTTGCTCCTCACACATCCTTATGTAGCTGCCAGCTGGTCCCTTGCAGAATCCCAAGGCTCCAGTTCACTAGTTGACCCTCTCTTTACAAGCAGGTCACATGTCAATATTCTCCCCTGTTCTTGGCAGACTCTTCAGTCAGTCTGTTGAATGTTTTTGCCTGCTCAGTGTAGTGGGGAATGCAAACTGCTTGACACTGAAATGTTCCTGCTTCCATTCTTGCTGGAGGCACAAAAGTATCCAGTCAAGCACGTAGACTGACTCCAGTTTTACAAGTAAGCACCCAAAAAAAGCTGCTACTATTAATCGTATTTATCTTAAATTGGTTAAACATCCATCTCGAGGAAAATTTTAGTTTAATGTCTTCTTTTTTGCATGTTTGTCGGTAATGCAGAACCCTTATTAAGCAGACCTCTTTTGTTTGTGTCCATGACTTATACGTTACACATTTTTAAAGGCTTATGGAGTCTGATAACAACTCCAACAACCAGAG